GGAGTTCCCTGAGGGTAAGCAATCCGCACCATCCATGGATATAGGGACACCAGACGAGTCAAAAGTACGTTGCAGGCGTTTTTAGGAGTTGATCACTCACGTTTTAAAATTAGCTTTTTTCCTAAACCTTAAGGGAATACCTAAAAAGTAGGATGTTATGTTAATAAAGGACCATGCGCGGAAAAATTGTTTTAAAAAGACGAAATAAACAATTGCTGTTTTGATTACTTTTGCACCTGTAATGTGAAAAAGATGGGTATGGGTAATATAATAACCCTGTAAGTAAAAGTCATTTTATTATTATTTTACTAGCCCCGTACTTCGCAGTTCGCAGGTATTTGAAAAGCTGTTTCATGACCCGTTTCTATAACACCTTAATCGCAAAACACATAAGTAATATAACATACATTACTGTTTTGATCATATATATACGGAACAACACTGTGTGATTCACAAACTCTTGTTCTAGGTCTGGGTGTGATGTATATGTGAAATTGTTTGTTTGTAAGGTACCCACGACACTGACTACAATCCTCATGTGGGGCAATAAAAAAGTATTTAAGCATAGCCTTAGCAAATTCCTACAAATCATTGCTATCAAAACATGCAAGGCGCTTAGAATATATGTACCTACCTACCAATTACATGTTACCTAAGTCATATGGGCAGTCATCAATGAGCTTGCACCCCGACATGGCATAAAACAAATATAAAATGATGCAATAGTTTCGGCCGGGTGGTTATCACGCTCGGCCGCTTCCTCGTCGGTAGCTCGGTGGGTTAGCGTGGTGCGCCTGCTCATGTAATTCGTAATTACGTCAAATTGCGTGGCCAAAATGATATAAGGCTGTTACATTTAGCTGTATAACGAATGCAGCACGTGGACGGTACGAGCTGACTGTTAATGGCTCTAAAGAACACATTTGCCTTACAAATAACGTCGTGTGTCGAGCTAAAACACTAAATAAAGGCTAGTATGTAATTTTTGCTCATTAATCTTTTCGAACGAACAACGTGCACATTAAACGCCCTATGGGTACCTACTTTCGTAGTATACATACGTAGTTTATAGTTTGCACGGCATTTTTTCTGTGTTCAATTATGTGGAAATGGGTTAGAACGTTCGAAGCTGTTACCATGGAATTTCATGGTAGCTAGCTATAGTAGATTGATTATTTTAAAGTATCGAGATCGAGATATCGATAACGCACTGCTAACAATTTTCGGAAGTTCTGAGTTCAGTAAAACATAAATAATGGCCAATAATGAAATGTTTGTCTCAAAACAATAAACAACTACTAAAAGAAACAAAAATGGTTTTAGTGTATTAGGGCTTGGTATGAATGGATAATAAACAAATGCCGTGCGAATCCGGACAGGGTCATAGATACATAGTTCTAGGAACAAGAATAGCAAATAGGCAATATATCGATCCTCCAAAGTGTTTTAGTGTTGTTTATGTTGTAATGCTTATAATTCACACACATATTTTTAAGCAGAACTCTGCAAATTCTGAACCTTTCAAGCTGCGATCTCCTATCAGCCTGCCCAACCTGGGAGTCAATGTACCTACACTTCTTCGGCATGAATGGAATGGTGAATCAGCTCAAAGGCTCCAACCGAGTGATACTACTCAGAAAACTGGCGTGAAACAACGCTTGCGTTGTGTTTCACAGCACGAGATTACTAGAAAATGGGGTTTCTCTCTTTTTCACCTCAATCCTCAAATCTTTAATTCGTAGCTTTAAGGAATTAGAGTAATAGAAAGAACGGTATGGTTTTAAGTCAGTAAGACTCGGTCTCACGGTCTCACCCTCCTCGCTAAGAGAAGAATTTTTCATAATTTTCCATCCTCAAAAAACCTATGTCCTGTCTCTACTGTTGACGATTAAATAACTAAAATAATCACATATTTTCCTCTTGCAACTGAACAAATGACTTTCAAAGCTGATTAGTAGTCAGGTCATTATTGAACTAAGTACATACTTATACAACATTATACATAATGTGTCAATACCAAACTATGGCAGGCATGCACGAAGAATCTCACATACTAACACATGCACAATGCGTTTACACAAAGATAGATAATTCTAAACTTGTAGTAGAAACTTGTGTAATTGATGTGTCAGGTGTAGGTAGGTAATTACTTAATTACCTATACATTTTTGTACCTTCTGTCTTTATTACCTACAATGAAAGAAATTTGATATCAGTATACTAGAGGTGAAAATACAATAAAAAAAAATAACTTTCTAGTTTTATAAAAAAAATCCTCTACTTTACTTAGTAATACTTTTTCCTGACAACACCAAACACAACAGAATTGACATAATTGGTTCAGGTGTTCTTGAGTTATGCGCTTAACAACACATTTTACAATTTTTTTACTTAATATAAAAATCGACATTTTTTCATATTTTATGTGAGCGGTATAAGGCCATAGGATCTAGATAAGTAGAGTCTTTTTCGGATGAAATAAAATTTTATATTTCTTAAAATCGATAAATGAATTGAAATACTTATGTCGTAATCTAATAATTTTCATAATCTAGTCTAGTAATCGTTTTAGACGGTTCTACTAACAATTACAGGTACTCATTGAATGAAACTCAAGTTTAAGTAAGCTATTTCAAAAAACTACTGTTAATTTACACGTGATTTCACAATAGAAAACCCCAGAAGGCAACATAGTGGTCCGATGTAAGAGTTTAAAGTGAAACTACTTAGGTAATTACACAACTAAAAGAATGCCTAGATGGGTTACGTAGGTATCGATTAATTAGTAAAAATCGGTGGGTACTCGAAAACGTTTGTTAACTAATTAATCTAATTATACAGTGTGTTACGCTTAACGATTTGGGATTGCCACTTTTTCCATGGGACTAATATCGAAATCTCAGAAATTATATTATTACCCTACACAAATCGCAACAGCTGATTGATAATGTTGTATGGAGTTTTTTTTTTGAGATTTCCGTATTGGTCTTATTGAAAAAGATGTTTTATTTGAGCACCAGGATCGGTTCCTCGAACATGTCCCTCATACAACCTATCAATCTATAATCTTAGTCCGAGGCATTCGCTCAGAGAATTATTTAAGGAAACTAAGATAATGACGGTTGCCTCACAATATATTTATGAAAATGTAATTCACGCTCATAAAAACAAAAGCTTATTTAAGAAGCATAGTGATATACATAATATTAACACGAGGGGGAAAAACAAATATGTTGTCCCTGCCTCCAGGCTTCAGAAAATAACTAGTTCGTTTAGATGTCAATGTATACGCTTTTACAATAAAATTCCTAGCGATATTCAAAATTTGAGCCTCAATAAATTTAAAAGTGTAATAAAGGCTAAACTTTGCTGTAAAGCATTTTATAAAATAAAAGACTACTTAGAGGATAGTCAGGCATCGGAATGAGCCGCTGTAATGTCTGCACAGGTCATGTTGACATGTTTGTAACATAAGTTACACTTTTATATACAATTTGACATTACGTTTATTTTTTATACAATGACATAATCACCTATTGTGACATTTTATTTTTTATTTGACATTTTTTTTTATTTATTTATTGACATTTTTATTGTTTTATATTATTGTTAGTGTAAGGACCGTGTGAGACTTGCCGTGCTTTTTGATTACCAGTTATCTGCGTTCTGACAGTTTGAGTAAAAAAGAATTTATTACTTACCAAATAAATAGTTTTTACTGAATATGAAATTTATAACTCGTAGGGATCAAATGAAACTCTAACATCGAAATAAGTATTTTCATTCGAAAAATCAACACATCTACAAATAAAGTGCTTTCTGCAGTGTACCTACAACATATTTTATAGAAATCAGTGTGTGTGACGTATCACTACTTACAACATCGTAAATCTCATCTACATTTACGAATATGTATTCATATTCATTCATAAAATTGCTCTCCCGATTTGAGTGCCACCTGTCTCTAAAACAACGAACTATGTGCATAAGTACTTAGGGTACAAAGTAATTAGGTCCCAGATTCAGCGCCCATCGTCAGCTAGGTCTTGATCCTAAGGACCATTAAAAAGTGCATGCCACATGCATCGGATGGCGCTACGTGTCCTGATTATTGATTTGTCTCATTCAAAGCTTTCTCATGAATAAAGTAACATATGAAAGACAGGTTTATTTAAGTAAATAGTTCTTTAATGTCTCTTCAATAGCTTAAAGTGTTGTTTACAGTTGCAATTTGTATTTTTGCTAGCAGCGATTAAATGAAGAAGATTAAATATTCTATAGTTTATGTTCCTCCATTGGTATTTTTGGTACTGTGAATAATATAAAATCAAATGACGTCAAATCGTAAGTATTTACCGTGGTATTTACCACCTCGCCCATCGGTTACTTCAAATCAACGACGATTGTGATGCATTAGCTGTTTCTGCCTTACACGATTTTAAGGCAACGAAAATAACTCCATCTATACTTATGTATTGTATTTTCGACAAAGTAAGTAAGCGGCCTCTTGGTCTAGGGGTATGATTCCTGCTTTGGGTGCAGGAGGTCCCGGGTTCAAATCCCGGAGGGGCCCTTTTTTGGATACTTTTTTTTTATTTTAAACGCTAAATAAAAATAAATATGTCTTTTATTTAATTTTAGTTAACGAGAACGCTGCAATTTATTCATTATTTTTGAATTCTCTTGTAAATTATCACCATTCAACACAGAAAGTGTTCCAATATAATGATTACCTACTACAATACATCATCAAAATAATGTTAATATTCACATTTTAATAAAAATCTGTTTTATTAAAATTATGAAAAGTGCCATCTGTTAGCATTAACCTAAATCACGCACGCCGGCACGTGTTTGACATAAGAAATAGTAGCGACATCTGTTATACTGAAATTGAAACAGTTGGTTATTCTTCGTGAAACTCTTAATCAATATAGATGTCGTTAGACTCGTGAAACAGCTGTTTTTATGATGATGTTTTGCTTTTCATTTGTTACCAACTTCATGTCACGCCAACCAGCCAACACCAGCCAGTCAGCGAGTGAGAATCCGTGTTCGATTTCGTGAGTTGTGTTAGTACGACGATTTATTTGGAGTACCATTATTTTGTTTGTAAATTTATTGACCAGTGCAATCAATATTGTTATTTGTAGTCGACATTATAAGTGATTCTTCTAACATCTGCGGAGCAAAAAAAGTGTCAAAGAAAATTTTGTGCGTCTGACGGACTCCTTTCACAAAGGATTAAACGGGAGACTTCGTGTTTTACCCGTGCGCATTTCACCAATACGACAACTACATATTGCGGAACGTAAGTAGAATCATTGCGATTGATCTTAAACACTGGTTACTGAAATATTTTTGGAATACGAAATCTACGGTGTAGCCATCCTTTGATCGACTTTTTCCATATTGATTTGCTTTCGGAGTTAACATTTCGATTCTATTAATAGGTGATCCAGGTGGCAGTACCTATGACACTTATCTTGGATGCATGCTGTAAATTATGAAACAGTAGCTTACATTACGCAGACTCGTTAGCTACGAAAAATAACAAATGATTTATTTTTTATGGCTGTTTTCAGTATACAAGCAGCTGAGTTGACAACTGCCTTGATCTTATTACAATAACTACAACACACGTCTCGTGCTTTATTTAGTGGGTTGTCTTTATTAGTTTTGACCAGGTTTGAAGTAATTTCATATTTTGTACAGCCTTAAGCCTTACCCAATTTGACGCCCGACATATGTTGTTTGTATTTTACAAAAAGTAATACTTATTATACTTAAATTAGGCCCAATGCACAGAAATTAATTCGTGTAGCATAGATACTTCTATTTATATATTTACTTTTCTTCTATGAATAGGTACTAAGTACTTGTATACAGAGTATTGTTGTGGCGACACAAACACCTATACAAAACGCATCATTACTAATCATTAGTCATACTAATTCTTTCTTTACAATAAATACCTCTATCAACATTCACCTTCATAGATTCCTTGATTTTTTTAATGGAAATATTCTCTTCACCTTTGAGACAACTTAGGCTTTCATAACTGAGTCACATCTTTTATTTTTTTAAGAGTAATTATCAAAAAAAATATATGATAAAGAAAGTAAACATGATAACAATGTCAAGTACAAAATGAAATGTTGCTGCAATTATTTTTGACAAAATAATAAGTAAAATAATTAAGTAAACCTTAAAAAGGTACTTTTGAAACATGAAAATAGAATAATATAATAGTCTTTCAGTCTGATCATCAGTGGTGTTTATAGCTAGGTCAGTAGATTGTATCATTGTAGGTAATATTGTTTCTGCTATTTTGGGGTGCCTAGCTGTCCACATGCATCTAAAAATGACTTTTAAAACAATCTAGGAAAAAAAGTCGAGTCAAGTTACTCTTTCACCTACATAAATTATATTTCAGAAACAGAAAAATTATTGGAGTTGTTTTTAACTTGGCAATTCTTGATTACATTACTTACATCATCTAAGCATATAAATAAAGCCTTTTTTACTATTACAACATTGATCTTTACTCATGCCTATGTATGTATGTTGTAAAATTATGAAGAATAGAACATAGAAGAAGCTGGGTTACATTTTATATGGGTTTCCATTTATTTGGTGGTATTCTTGGAATTGCCTTAATACTTAAAAAGTCAACACTATCCTGATTCCTATTCCATGTTGTTATTACCTCAGATTTATGTTGTTGTTCGGTAGCAATTCTTAATTACCTAGATTAAGTAATTACCAAGATAAATTTTCCTACATGACACATAAACAGCACTAACTGAGCACTATCAAGAAAATTTTATTTCTAAACCCAAGGCTCGACTGGTAATAAATGCTTAAGGCAATAAGTGACAGAATTTTATAAAAAAAATAAGATTGAAGTGAACCCTCAATGTTTCCGGAACAAACTTGTGGTTCAAACTGTGGTGTTAGTTCGCTGTATCTACTGGCACAGATATAGGTATAGATATTATTCAGTAGTATGAATTTGCTACATGATATAGTTTATAGATCAGATGTGACGGTACCACTGTCACACAGAACAATACGATATCTGCACCCTGGCCTGCAGCCATATTCGAGCAGCAAAACTAGCATTAGATATACCTATCCAGTTTAGACTGTCTGTCAAACAAAAACCAACTTTTTATTTTTTGATGTGAGCAGCAAAACACTTTGTATTTCCTGTATTTGTATAGATACGAACTAAAACGACTTTAAAAAAAAGTTTGCTTTAATAAATCACGTGCAAGCTCAAGTGCTATTGACTGTCTGAACTACATGTGCGCTTCTATGACGCTTACAAACATGCTATTTAGAATTTAAATTTCAAACCTCAATACAGTTGTTGAGTTTATTAACCATACAATATACATTTGCATTGCAAGCCAAGCAGAGAAGTATACTAGGTCAGTATGTGCTTCCGTGTCGAGACGTAGGCGGGGGTGCAGAATGTGCACCACTTGCCAACCGACTGACTTCTTTAATACTTTTTATCATTATGCATTACGCCTGTTTCTACCTTGCCCTTGTTTTAAAATGCGAGATTATAAACGAGTTTTAAGTTGATTTCAAGTAGTTTACCAGAAGAGCTGGATCTAATTTTTGGGCAAGGATAAGGGATAGTCGAAAGCGCGTCAAAAAGCAGCACTGGGACTTCAAATCATTGTTTGTTTTTATTGGTGTCTGTTTATAAGTTGTATGCTCGCACACGCTAATATTTGCACGCACCTTGTAATCATGACCCAGATGATGAAGCTAGTTCGTGTTAATTCATTAATTCAGTTAGCTGCGCACCATCACGTTTGTTATTGTCAGCAGGGTCGGATGTGCGATATATTCATTTTCATTGTTACACTTTACCCGATGACCCCACGACACGTCTTGTCGTAAGTAAATAAATTAGGAAGCTACTTCTAAAGTTGTTTATTTACGGATGTTATTGGAAGGCTTTATGAAAATAAAGCTGTTACCTATAAGATTTAATCCAATAACCCGTTGCCATTTAAATGCCAAAGTAACCAGGGCTTTGGATTTACTTCACGAGAACACACAGAAATGTTTATTCCTTTATTATAATAGTTATATAGTCGATACTGATATCTCTGTACATGGGTACCGTTTCTAAGTTCGCGGTAACAGAGCACGAGGCCCACAGAGCGGTGCCCTGACGCAACCGAGTTGCGCAAGCGCAGCCAGAACGTCGCCACTATTATAGTATTATACATTTGTTTGTACTTGGTCTTTTTCGTCCTTTCTATATTTCTGAGGGACTTGCTTGCTTCATTACGTGGAATAGAACGGAATGGATGTAATTCAAGATTTCTGTTGTTAAATTCTAGGAAGGAAAAAGTTACTTAGGCACGTACCTACACGTTAGATGAATATTACTACTTATTGTTGTCTTCCATATGTAGCCTTACTTTTTGTACACAAACTGCAAACAATAGCAACATTACGTTCATAATTAACTACGTATAATAAATTGGCTCTATGACATTTGAAAGGAGGCCCATCCATTCATCGGTAACATTCGCGTTGCAGGAAAGTTTCAATCTAACAAGGTCGCAATACTGGGACCAAGTTGTGAACCGCATAATCACACGAAATAGAATAGGTGCCATTTTAGGCTGAACTTCTTTTGTTATAGACATCTAGATTCGTTGTGAAATGATACTCAACTATTTTATTATAACATTACTAAGTACATTAGATACTGAAATAAATAGTAATCCATGAATTAATCTTAAAGAAATATAGATCACGGCCTTTCTATATGCCAAATCAGATCAAAATCTATTCTCTTATTAGTTTTTGCCAAAACAGCTACCAGGACACCAGATACAAGCAAGAAAGAATCTTCGTTTCATTTAAAACCCTTATTTATGCGTTGTATTAAATTCTAAATAACATTACTAAAAAGAAAAAAAATATGTAATTGATTGTGTCATTGCATTTCCGCATCGAAACGGGAACATGTTAATAAGGAAAACGACTTTAATGATAAGCTGTCAGTTGGAAGTAAAGTACCTATATACAATATGTACCTACAGTCACACAGTATATTGTGAACCTACTTAATATCTGCAAACGAATCGTGGCCTTATGTTGTATAACTAACTATCTAATTTCAAATTAATTTCTTTGCACGAGTACCTTAATTAATAAATATATGTTCAAGGGATTTTAGAAGCATATTTGTTTGTTAAGTTAACTTTTAATGAAATGAAATATGAATGAAAGCATTTGTATAACGTAATTTAACAACTTTGTGATAATGATTATCGTAGTTATTATATTACAGTCATACATAACAGGTAGGTAGTAATAGTTCTTGCATAAATATTTGCTCAGACATTTCCACTTTCCACCACATACAAGTGCAACCCTCCGTGCATTTTGTGTACACAAATGTGCTGCTGTTAATTGCTGTGCTTGTTAGCAACGCGTTTACGTACTTCTGTGTTGGTCTTCATAATCTATGATGCTCAGAATAAGTATGGCTACCTACATACTTCGCACTTATGTGTATAAATATAACTCATACTTTATGTTCTGATAGCAATAGAATATAGTCTCTTTCTGTGATTAATTTCATTCCAAACCGTTAAGTAGTTCTAGTGTGAAAGCAGCCCGCGTTGTCTTGAAGGAATACTGCATTTCTATTGCGACAGACTGAGTATTTAATAAAATCACAGCCAACGTTGTCTCCCTTAAAGTGTGCTCAATTACCTTCAATAAGATAAACGTACATTATTAAAGGCGATAAAATACGCTATTTGTGTGTGATTTATTTCAATGACAACGTCCAGTTACAGCAATTTTAACTGCTAATATTAGCACTTTAAACTGTTAATATTAGCAGTTAAAAGAAGGTACAACTGATTCAGTCTTCCATTCTTTGCACCAGTTTGATTAGGCACCGGTAACTTTTTTTGTAGGTCGCCTTGTTGAATAAATGCAATTTATCTTCCCTGGAAGTAACGCGACCATCTCACTATTATTATCGTCATAAACGGGAAAACTAGACGGTTCCCATTCATATGAACAGTGGCATATAACAATGGATTGAACAAGGACAGACTACCATCAGACAACGTTAGTTTTGCCTTATTGTCCTCTACACCATTGTTTTTACTACGTTATACGGACGTCAACAACAAAAAAATCGATAAACAGTAATCTTGGACCATACATAAGTAATTTCTAAGGTCGATCGACATTACCAATAGTCGAAGTCGTCCAATTCTAACTACCGGATTCTTTGTCAATACTAATTGAATT